AAAATAACTGCAATAGAATCTGGTACAATTATTGTCCTGGATTAAGAGAAATAAAGATGTATCCCTGATGGTTCCACCACAGTGACAGTTTAATATTTTTTTTTCTGAGAGTGTACATGTTCTGAGCTGGTGTATATTTATAGTAATAAATTAAGTTATTATTCATAATAATCAATGTAAACAAATATTCCGCCAAGAAATGTAGTTCCTTTAGAGTATGGTATCGTTGCCAAGCAACCACAGACTGCTGAATCAGGAGAAGAACATTTGGTTGCCCATCACTGTATTGTAGCCTTCTTCTGCTGATGCTATGTTGTGGTCATTTCGTGATCTTTTTATCTTTTTTGTCCTATAATAATGAACATATCATAACACAGCACTTTTTAATGCAAAAACCTTCATTTATAAGTACTTTTTGGTCACCAAATTACCACCGCAAGTCTTATATAGTTTGGGATTCAATCTGGATTTGATGCTACTTCTGTGTAATACATTCAAGTGACATTCTTTAGACTTTTATATTGCAGTTTTACAGTAAATCCTATTGTAACTACTTTGATTCAAGCCTGTAATATTAATGATGGAATTGTCTAGGCTGTTAGCTATCTTTTAGCCTGTTAGCTAGCTGACAAGCCGAGTTCTACTTCTAGAAAACAAGTCTCCAGCCCCTCAGTTTAAACAGAAAACAGGTTCTTACTTCACCAATATACTCGGTGATCCATGCGAGCAGCATTAGAGTCAAAGTTTACTACATTAACAGCACAAGGATTTTTTGTGGTGCAGTAATCCTGTTCAGTTGTTGTGAGGTGCTCATAGGTGAGCATATATTGTGTATTTTACAGCGGCTTCAACGAAGGCTCAGCCAATCAGATTTTAGGACCAGATCTATTTGTCTTAATAATTAATTAATTAATAAATAATTAATAGAATGTCCACTCTTCACTGTGCGTTGTCACATCTTTGTACTGCAATATCACAACATCATGAAGCGTTGATACTCATCCATCCCAGAATGCTATGCAATTTAATTTTTGACGTAAGCACAGATTGGTTAATTCTAGTGGTAAATAAATGTGTATATTTAAATGTTTTTTAAAAATGATCTCATCAAACATGAGGAGTGATGTATAATGAAAGATAAAGGAAGTCTATAGATACTTTTCCAAAAAAAAACTGATGTCCATTAAGAATATATTAGAGGCGAGCAATATGACAATATTTAACGTTATTGTGATGAATTGTCACATTATGTCACAACACGCTTTTCTGAGCATATTGTGGATATAATGGCACTGAATCAGAGCTTTTTACATTACAAAGAGAGCCCAATTAGACCTGTTTAACTGAAGCGGTCCGTGAAATGTTACATAAAAACAACTGCATTCATAGTTTCTCATAGCATTTTGTGTTTGCTCTAATTTACCTTTTAAAAAATTAATTACATAAATATCGCGATGCATACTGTATATCGTGAAAATGTTTATAAGTATCGCGATGTGATATTGTTGCCATATCGCCCATCTCCAGATCATTTGAAACTACTATTTTTTGTTATGCTCATGTTTTCCCGTCACCCACAATGACTCACAATAGCCGGAGCGTCCAAAAGCCTAAGGGGTCAGCTGAAAATCAATATATAGAAAGGAAATGCGAAGCGGGATTGCTGACAAAAGCAGATGCTGATTCGATGTAATTGGTGGCTACATGTAGCCTAGCCTCCGCATTAGCTAATGCATTCCTATACAAACAGGCTAATGAACTGAACTGGTAACAGTAACGCTGTGTACCTGGCGAAACTGAGCCAGAACGGACAGTATGGAGCAATACTGCAAATGAAGTGGCCTAACCAGCCCACTACATCCACTACTCGCAAGGTGAGTGTCCATTTAAGAGCCACTGGGACGCCAGAAGTCTAACCGTGTTGTGAAACAAAACGTTGTTCAGAAACATTTCAGCACTGTTCGGCTCCATATCCATATAGCAGCATCACATGACTCGACATTGAGCACGTTGCTCGTCTGCTGCCTTTTGTACTGAGGTGAGGACACAAGACACTGGAAAACAAATGCTAACACGAGCCACGGTTTAAGGAGAGAAAGTGAGTAAAGTATTAAATAAAGTAAGCTACAGAAAAGAGAGAGAGCATAAACCTACCGTTTTCTCCCCCTGCAGCCTTCTCTGTTGTTGTGGTAGATGCTCGCAGTTGGCTGCTGACCCATGTACTGAAGTGAGGTGCATTTTTTTCCCACCTGTTTTCAGACAAACTCCGCCTCCTGCGCTAGGATTGGCTAGTAGTTCGTACTCAAAACCAGTCTGCCGCGACGAGTCTGAGCTACAACCAATCCTAGAGCAGACAACTAGAACGCACACGCGCAGGAGGCAGGATTTAACGAGCCAATCCCTGAAGCAAAGGCGGGACTTGTAGGAATACGGGTGGAATAAAAATAACGCTGCAGGGGCGGGAGAGGTAGCAGTCCGATCAGCGCCCCCCAATGCAGATCGAAGCTAATGATCCTGGGTGGGAGCGCCATGATTGTGTTAGCCTACTAGTCTATTTTTTCTTTCTTTCTTTTAGGATTGAAACTGTAGATTCACATTTACTATTGAAGTCAATTCAGATGCATCAAAAGTTTGAATGTCTAGAAATTACTTCATACTGAAATCCAAATACACTATATGGCCAAAAGTATGTGGACGCCTGGCCCCACACCTATATGAGCTTTTTGGACACCCCATTCCAAAGCCATGGGCATAAATATGGAGTTGGCAAAACCTGTTATTGCTCCTAGATGTTTCCATTTCACAATACCAGCACTTACAGTTGGGGCAGTTCTAGCAGGCCAGAAATTTCATGAACTGACTTGTGGTAAAGGTGGCATCCAATGACAGTGCCACGTTTAAAGTCACTGAGCTCTTCAGTACAACCCATTCAACTGCCAGTGTGTGTTCAGGAAGATTGCAAGGCTATGTGCTTGACTTTATACACCTGTTAGCAATGGCTGAAACACCTGAACTCAATAATTAGGAGTACTTTTGGCCATATAGTGCAACTACCACCAATATCGATTGAAATACAAAAGTTTAAACAGGCTGAGTATTGTGAAGTAATTATGAGTTTTCATATATGTTTTAGGGAGGAGAACATAATTTGAACAGCTATAATATCCACATAAATTATGAATTATGTGTCTTTGATTATGAACCCAGGCATTCAAGAGCAATTCAAACGTGACCACATTTCAGAAATGTATTTTTATTGATCAATGCATAAGCAGTATAATATAAGAAATAATTCATCTAACCAGCCTGAAAGGCAGGACATCTCAGTGGTCCTGCTAAACAGGACAAAAAAGAGCCACCTACAATAATCAAGAAAATAAAAGAGCATCTGCAAAAATTACAAACAAGAAAAAATCATACACAAGCAAAAGGTATATGAAATCAAGTTAAAAGTATACAGCAAAACAAAGAACAAAGAAAAAAATATATCATATTTTCCCTTTTTGTTTTGCACACCAGGTGCATATTTATATAAAGCTTTTTAAAAGATTCATGTGTTACAAGTGTAATGTGCAGAGTAGCAACACTGGATTATTGCAAATTGAGTACAAAAGAATATGAATAAATGATCACGAACATCTCTCCATGGACAGAAACTGGGAAATATCTGAAGTTTTGCGAGGGGTGTGTATAAAAAGGCTGCATGGCTAATTTAATTTTAACCGAATGGTGACGTCAGACGTCAATCATCATCGTCGTCGTAAAATCTGTTCCGTTTGATTTGTTCCTCTACAGTCAACGATTCCGGTTCCTCTCCCCACAGGCAGCTGGCCTCAGCCAGCAAGCTGGCATCTTTGGTGTCAGAATTATCGAACATCTCCTTGTTCCTCTCCTCCGCAGTTTGCTTGTCCGCCACCTCTCTTGTCTCCATTCCAAAATCCATAAGATCGTCCAGCAGAGAGACTGCTGATTTTGTGCTGATTTCTTTGGTGTGAAAGTCCTCCTTAAAGTCCAGCAGCAACCCTGAACTTTCCCCAAAGCCTGCAAATATGTCATCCAGGAACTGGGAGGCGCTGAACTTTGTCTCCTCAGCTGAAACCTCCCTAGACATATCTTTGCCACACTGATGCTCTTGTTTTGTGTCTGGCTTGGCACTTGGAAGTAGACAAGCTTCGTCCTGGTGCGGTAATTGTAAAATGTCACCGTGCCTTATCTCTTTGGTGTTGATGTCCTCTTTGATGGTTACCTGAGTAGAGGGTGGTGCAGATGATCTGAGGTCTAGTAGATTTGGCTCTGCTTTAATGTCATCCAAACCCACCCACGTGACAGCACTGTCAAATAACAGGTTACTGTTGTTGTTGTTGTTGTTGTTGTTGTTGTTGCTGTTTACATTTCCATTGGCTGCCTCATGGTCTGGAGTTCCACTGTCTATCATAGTCACCTTTACAGCGTCAGCTTCTCCATTTCCTTCACTTCCCTTCAAGTTCTCACTTCCGTTTTCTTGCACATTTTCCACATTCTCAGTCTCTTCATTTAGTTTCACACAATCAACTTTTTCCTCGATTACCTCCTCCTTTTCTTCGATCTTCTGCTCCAAGCCTGTCTCTCCATTCATTTCAGAAACCTCTTTCTCTTCTTTCATTTCTCCTTCACCTTCTGCTTCCTCTACCTTTTCTGCCATACCATCGGATGCCTCTGGTGCTGGACTGACAGCTTCTGTAACTTCAGTTTGGATCGGATGAGCTGCTGTTGGTTGCTCTGAGACCTCCTCTTCAGGTTTGGTTGACTCTGCTGGGGTTATCACAGGGTCACCACCATTTTCCTTGTGTCTTCTCTCTATTTGATTTTCATTAGCCATGCCAGATTTTGTTGGTGATGTCCTCTCTCTAAGTGGTCGCTCTTTATTTATGACTTGTGGCACAGGCTCCTCTTTAGGAGGCCAGGTAGGCTTGATGACTTTTACTTCTTCCTCCAGGCTAAAACTCTTCTTTTGGGCCTCGCTTTGGGTTTGAGGTGGCCAAACAATTGCTATCTTACTTGTTGGCTTTTTGGCATTATCATCCAACTTCCTTGAGTCTTCCTCAGCTGGGAATAAGTCATTTTCTTTTGAGATGTGTGCTTTTGTTTCATCTTTGACTGGAGGAACACTTTTAACATGAGCTTTTTCTGAGGTGTTCTTCTGATTTTTTGTGCTCCAAAGCTCCCTGTGGGGCTTTTCCCCAAATCCCTCATCATAGTTTCCTTTGGACTTGAAGAGCTGTTTGTAGTGGGGTTTGCAGTACATTCGTCCATGGAGAGAAGCATAGTTTCCCAGGCTGGTGGAGAGGAATAGTCAGTCAAAGCCTGGTTCAAAATGCTGTACATTTATTCTCTTTAAAAATATGATGAATATCCTGCATATCTTAAGTGATGTATCGGTATTAAATAAAATATACTAATTTTATCCTTAGCATTTTTTCGTTATGGTCAATTTAAGTTGTAGGGGAATGTTTAAGTCATAAATATAGGTTTCTAGTAGGGATGTGCACTCTTTTAATATTGATATTTGAATATCTTTAAGAGTTAATGAATAGATATTTGAAAACAACCACCAAAAAAACTCTAGCACTACACTGAGGAATACATTTAAAAAAATGGCTTTATAACTCAAAATTGCCAAGTGAAATCAGTAGGTTTTTCTGTTGGATGAGTAAAAGAGGCTGCATCTTCAGATGAGCTAATCAGTTAACACTACACACAACCTATACAACATGGATAGATGCTCATGAGGACTCTTTGTCTTCTACACAAGGCATTTTCTCCTCAGTGGATGATGTCCCACTTTGTTAGTTTATCATTGAAATATATCTCATTATATCTCATCAATATATCATTATTTCTAGACCTAGCTAGCACTTCATTAGCAATACAGGTTTGCTACTTCTTAATTATGTCCTTAACAAACCATCCAGCACGCTTATATTGAGGCACTTATGCTTTGATGTAGCAAAGTGTAATATAATATACATACTTTCTCACAAATATGAACAAAACCATCACATTTTATGCAACAAATACCCAAATAGCGTTTTCAGGATTAACTGAGTACCCGAGTATCTGTGCACACCTCTACTTTCTAAATATCATCACTGTCCAAGGGAAAATAAGTATCTCCAAAATAGTAACTTTACAGGAGAGGTATTCAATGCAAGTTAACGTAAAAAGATTTAATTACAAGCAACTTTGAAACATTTATATTTATCTATTAACCATGAACTTTTCACAATATAAAGGACAGCTGTCATGCTAATGCTATTATGTAGAAAAGTAAAAACAGAGAAAGAATGGAGACATGTTTTTCTTTGGACAGCGATATATGTTAGGTATTTAAGTAAACAGCTATACTAATTTACCTGAGTTGGCTGTTACAGTGGGCACACCTGAAACAGGTTTTATGAAAGTTTTGTTTGTCCGCTACGAGAGACTCCATGGGATACACCCTCTTCCGACATGCCCGACACAGTTCGGACTCTGGCACTCTTATTTTCTGTAAAAGAGAAAGTAAAATGACATTTGTCAATGACATTTATCAGAACAGTAATATGAAAGCAATTTTTCTTGCAAAAAAACACGCAAAAACAGTCAGCGATCATGTTAATAGCACAACAGACAAACAATAAAAATAAGGAAAATATGTAAAAACATCGTTATTGTTGATGGAGATCATTAGAGCAATATAAATACACTGCATATGAATTAAAATAGTATTACATTTCCACAACAACAGATCAGTATTTAAATGTAAGGCAAAACTAGACATAAGTGCTTCAAGCATATTTTCAGTTCCTGTAGAAAGTGCTTCAAAACTGTGGTTTAAACACATCAAAGTTCCATGCCTTGGTCACATAATCAAATACATCATTGATATTTTAGTAATCACCCCATTCTCTGGTTAGTGTTTCCATGCCTCATCACACAGTTTTACCAGTGACAACACTCTGCTGCTGGTGCGATACAGTCTGTGAGGTATGCTGTCCTGAGATTCCAAATCCTAAGTTCTTGAAGACATTCTCACTCTCTGCCCATGTCTGCTGGAAGCTCTTCAGAAGTTGCTCCGCTGAGGCCTCAGGTGGTACATCAAGAACAGGAACCTTTCCTCGCACCACATCTGCATATGTTGGAGGATCACGGCGTGTTGTCACACTCTGAGAATGAGATGTAATCTCGCTCCTTGACCCAGTTATTGAGTTTCCAAAGTCATCAACAGTGGAGTAGTGCTCTGTAACAGATTGTGTCTCTGAGAAACCTGTGGGTTCAGCAGATTCCTCCTGTTTTTCTAGGTTCTTTCTCTCCTCTCTGAGATACTGGTGGGCCTGCTCACCCATTTCAAACACATTCTTCAGGGCCTTAATATCAAAAGTAGGAATCTCCTCTAGTTCGGAAGGTTTTTTCTGTGGTTCAGCCTCAGCATCCTCTGTATCGCTGCCTAGTCTTTCAGGAATTACAATGGGCTCTCTCCTAACATAGACTTTGGGCTGTGGGGACTCAAACTTATTGACAAGTTTGGACAGGTCAACCCTGGGCAGATCATCCTTCATCCTCTCATGGACGTCTATAGGGATCTCTGTCTCCTCTGTGTCTGGCTCCAGCCGCTCTGGGATATCAATGGGATCCTTCCGTATGTAATGAGGATTCAACTCCGCCCTTTGAGCCTCCTCAAAAAACTCTCGCTTGTCTTTCACAGTCATCATGGAGTCACCATGGATCTCCATAGATGACTCAAGTGTGGATGACTCCGACATATGGGTCTCAATAGCAAACTCTTGGCGGCTGGATGAGCGCAACTCCTCCATTTCACCTTGCACCTTCATTATATGCTCGGGCAAAGGCATGGGAGGAGGAGTTGTACCAAGGGAAAGCTTGGCAGTTGTATCTCTCAGTTTGGCCAACTTCTCAGAGTGACTCATGGTTGGAGAGGGAGTAGCTCGGTTAAAACTTGTGGGGGTGTCTGTGCAACGAGGTGGGGGTGTTGGGGTTGCACCTGATCTGTAGGGTGGTGGAGGAGAGGGGGTTACTACCAAAGGAGAGTCTGTCCTCCGAGCCGTCTCAATGCAAATATATGTGGGAGACGGAGTTCTCATTCTAAGCTCTGGAGGCATTGTTTTGGAGTCTGTAAACTTTGACTCGCTTAGCTCTTGAACCGTTTTCTCCGCAACCCTTTTCTGAGTCTCCACTTTAGCAGAACCAATGCTTATTTTAGATATTTTCTGTGATGTTCCACTGATTGTCTTCTTCTCCTCTACTGCACTCTCTGACTTGCCCAGTGCAGCTAAATTTCCCTCTAAAAAAACAAGTTTTGCTTGAGCAAGGTTCCTCACATAGACGATGATCTCCTGAAGTTTTTGCTTATTGAACTGTGCACGGATTAATTCTGCCTTTTCCTCAGCTCCTACTAACCAGTCAGGGATCATACTCAGCATTATCTTGACTGACTTTGCATCTGTTTTGACGACTTTTTCTTGCATCTCCCTGATATGACTCAGCAGTTTGTACATTTCCTCATACTTCTGAAAATCGGATGTCTCTGATGCAGTCACATTCAGTTCTGATTTCTGTGTTTCTTTCATTTGGCTAGGCCCCTTCTGAATGTGTTTAATGGCCTCCTCGCCACTTGCCGGACTCTTAATTTGCTTCTTGATCTGAAACTTTCCCTTTTGTTGAATACTTTGCTGCTGAACTGTGCTCTGAGTGACCACTTTTTCTTTGTGTACCACAACATTCTCCTCCTTAATAGCCTGCTGAGACTGAATAACTGTTGTCTGACCTGACCCTTGGTGATGAACTTCCATAGACACGGATGGTAACACATGATGTATCTCCACTGATGGTCTAGGTGCCACAGGCGGTGGTTGCCTGATCTCCTTCTTTATTTTTTTCTGGGGTGTTTTCAGCTGTATCTCCACTTTGGCATCCTTGGCGGTTTGCTCCCCTTGTTCTTGTTTCTCCACTTTAACTACTTTTTCTTTAAGGCCAGTAGTCATTTGGGAGCACACTTGACCTGCACAAACCTGAGATACATGCTGTGCACTTCTTACATCCTCCACAGCCATCTGCTCTTTCTGGACTGACTCTTTCTTTTCCTCCTGCTTCACTTCTGTGGGCACCTTAAACGTTTTAACTTTGAAGCTTTGGGTGACTTTTGGGATCTTCGTAGGCTGTGAGGAAACCTTCTTTGTTTCATCAGTTACCATTTCTTCTGCTTTTGCAGAGACACTGGCCTGACACTGAACAGATGTTGAGGATTGCTGCATAGATTGAGCATGGTCTTGCTTGGAGATGCTAGTGTGAGAGCTTGACTTTACATTTTCAAAGTGTTCAGTTGCTGCGGATGTTGGCTGAACTTTGATCTCGGCTGTGGCCTTGCCGATAGTAGTAGAGGTCTGCTTTTTATCTGAAGCAACACTAGCTGACTCAGTGCTGGCTTTCTTACTGACTTTGGGAAAGGAAGGCTTGCTCAGCTGAAAGCTTGCAGGTACCTTTTCTGTTGGTGAGGGCTGAGCCACTTTTGAGGAAATTGGTTTTGCAGGCCTTTCTTGTGCTGACATGACCGGCTTCTTTACAGGCTCTGGCACTGTAGGCACCACTGCTGGCTTCTTTTCAGGTTCTGGTTCCTTAGGCTGTTTCTGTTGCATTTCAGGTGTAATTTGTGATTGTGCAAGTTTCTCTGTGGTGGACTCCACTTTGGTCACACCAGCTACAGACTGAAATGGTGTGTTAATAGGAGATGTTGGAGTTGACCCTGTCTTGTTCTTTTCAGCTTCCTCTCTTTGCTGGCGATATTTTTCCTCTGCAAGCATGAGAGGTGTCTTGAATTTCCTTGCATAAGGCCGTGACTTTGGATCATCAGCAGGCTCTGGGGGTGGTGGAAGCTTAACTGGTGGCACAAATACTTTTTTAGGTTGAGGTGGCTCCTCAGGTTGTACCTTGTGTACTGGGACTACTGAAGGAGGTCCAGTGGCTGGTGGAGGCGGCATTTGAAGTGACTTCAGACTTTCCTCATGCTTTTTCTCCATCCCTTTGGTTTCAGTGACTGTTGTAACATGTGTTGTTACTGTTTCCTTCTGATCAGCCACAGACGGTGGTGGTGGTGGGGGAGCAGGAGTGGCTTGCTTTTTCTGCCACTTAAATTTGGGTGGTTCTTGTTGCTTTGGAGGCTCAGTCTTAGGCACTTTGAACAGAGGACGGCCCTTTGGCTTTCCAGGACTTGGCTGGGTCACAGAGCTGAGTTCCTGTTGGGATGGTGGAGGAGGAAGCAAGTCCTGAGGAGGTGGGGGAAAGAATTCACCTTCTGCCTCACTGGTTGGTGGAGGTGGTGGTGGTGGAGGAGGAAGATCACTATCCTGCCTCATTGCCAAGAGAGGACGAAGAGGGATATCAGTCTCTGTCACTGGAGATGGAGGTGGAGGAAGTGAGAGCTCAGACTCAGAGGGTGGTGGTGGAAAGTTTGGAGGAGGAGGGAAGTGAATTTCTGGCTGGGGCTTCTTTTTGATCATTCCTTTTGGATTAAGGTTCCTGTTCAGACTCTTAACATTTTGTTCGGTTTTCAGACTCTTAACATTTTGTTCTGACTTCACATTTTTTACACTGTGCTCTTGTGTAATGGTCGTGTTCACTGTTGTCACCTCAGTTTGAACCTGTGTGATCGTCTTCATTTCCTGTGTTTGTTTCATGATTTCGGCTGTTTGTTTAGTGTCTTTTGTTTTACTCTCTCCAGAGGACAAAGCGACACTTTCACCTATTTTCTCAGTCATTTGCTTTCCAATATTCTTTTTCTTTATAGTCACAGGATTAGAGATGTTTTGCTTCTGCTTTACGTCTTTTATGTTCATCTTCTGTGAAACTTGGGAGGACCCAGACTCGCTCACTGTCGTTATATGCTTGGTTGTAGATTGTTGCTCTTGAGCAGAGGTCTGGCTTTCATCAAATTTGACTTCTGTTTGTTTTTGTGTGCCTGTATGTGATTCAGTACTCTGAGATATGTTTTTTGAAATGAGTGTATTTGCAGACTTGGAATCAGCCTTGGGTCTTGTAGGGCATTCACCAGGCTCTTGCTGAGGAGGCACTGGATTATTTATTGGAGCTTTACCTTTTCTGGAGGGATTCATTTTTGACTTCTGACCTGACTGTTCTTTCTTCTTCATAAGGCATTTGATGGTTCCTTTGACATCTCCCTTGACCACCTCCTCCTTCTCTATTTGGGTTTGTTCCTGTTCATAAAGAGACTTAATTGACGATTTTATGTCACCCTCTGTGCTTGCTCGTCTCTGCATATGAGAGGACGAGGCAGGTTCTAGTAAGAGCTGAATGGTGCCCTTTACATCACCCTGTTCGCTCACTTGATGCTGGAAGGTTTTCTTCTCAGTTGATGCCTCCTGTAAACTTAGTAAAGTGGTGTGGATGTCACCTTTAACAATTTCCTCTTTCTCTACCTCTTTCACTGCCTGTTTTGCCTCCTCCAGGCATCTTAAAGTGCCCCTGATGTCACCTGGGACTAAGTCTTCAATGATAATTTCAGTCTTAGCAGTTGTTGATTTCTCAAGGGATTCTAGAGCTCCTCTGATGTCCCCAGGAATGATCTCAGGCTTCTCTAGTTCTTTGAGTTGGTTCTGGGCCTCTTTCAGAGACTTGAGCGTGGTGTTGATGTCACCTTTGACCACCTCCTCTTTCTCAACAACTTTGCGCTCGTTCACTGCTTGTGATAGTGAGTCAAGAGCTGCTCTCAGGTCTCCCTTTACAATCTCCTCTTTCTGCAGATTGTGTAAAGAGTGCACTGGTTCCATCATAAACACCTGCACAGTGTTGTGAACGTCCCCAGGAACGATATCATCTTCTGCCACGGTTCGTCCAATGGCCTGCTGATTGTTCCTCAGGATCATTTTTGTGTGCTCCACATCACCTCCAATAATCTCTTCTTTGACCTTCTCCTCATAGGTCTCATCTGATCCTAACTGAAGTTGTTTGAGGTAGTCCAGTGCTCCAGACTCAATACAAGTCGAATAGAAACTCACATTGCCTCTCTCTGAATCACCGACCTGTATTTTAGAGCCTTTCACATCAGAATTGGACAACAGCATATGTAGAGTCCCACGGACATTTCCTTTGATAATATCCTCTTTCACAAGGCTGCTTCCTTCTTCTTTGTTCAGGAGTGAGTATATAGTCATCCTCACATCTCCTTTCTCATCTTCTTGAATTAAAATGCCATGTTTAGCAGACCCTTCCTTCTTCAGCAGGTTGTTGATGGCTTCTTGTATGTCTCCTCTGATGATTTCTTCTTTCTCTACATTAACACCCCTATCCTGACTAAAAAGCTGTTGGACAGTTGTGTTGATATTCCCCCTCTCCTCTGCATCAATGGTGATCCCCCTCTCTGTTGTCTCACGCCTGTTGAGCAGGTTCATCATGATGCTATTCAGGTCTCCTCGAATAACCTCCTCTCTCTGAATCTCTGGATTCTTCTGATTCAGTAGTTTGTACTTGGCCATCCTAACATCACCAATCTCATTTGCTTCTATAAGAATGCCCTGGGAGTCAACCATTTTCTGACTGTAAAGCTCCTCCAATGTCTCCTTGATGCTCTTGCCAATGATCTCTGTCTTCTCCACACTGGTCTCGTTAAAGTCAGTCAGTGGCGTGGTTTCAAAGAGCCATGTTGTCGTCTTCACATCAGCTTTGGGAATTTCCTCACGAGAAACCACAGTTTCTGACCCATCAGTGTCCTTGATACGATCAAGAGGTTCTTTTTCAAAGAGCCACACTGACTGCTTAACATCACCCTTCACCACTTCCTCTCGTGTTACTTTCTCCATTTCATTGTATTCTGACCCCTCTCCACGGATCTTATCAATTGTATGAGTTTCAAACATCCACGTAGCACTTCTCACATCGCCCTTTTGGATCTCACTAACACTAACGGTTCTCACGTACTTCTCAGACATCTCATCACTTTCAAAGCGCTGCTTGTTTGTTTTGACATCTCCACCCTGGATATCTGCAACTGTCTTGATGGTGACTTTCATATCCTCAGCAATTTCATCAAGCGGTTGCGTTTCAAACCTCCACCTGGCTGTGCTGACATCACCTTTCTGTATATCTTCCTGTGTAACTGCTTTGATGACATAAACTTCATCCGTGTCTCTTATTGAGTCCAACGGCTTTGTCTCAAACAGCCATCTTGCCCCAATCACATCACCTCTCAGAATTTCTTCCTTGGTGACAGTAGTAACTTCATGAAAGTGTCCCTCCTTGTCCTGAATAGCATATAGTGGTTGTGTCTCAAACATCATGGTGTAGTTTTTCACATCTCCTTTTTCAATCTCCTCCCGTATGATGCTTTGAAGCTTATTAATCTCTGTCTTAGAAGAGTCTTCCTGAATCTTATCCAAGGAAAATGTCTCAAAGATGAATCGGCCTTTGTCAACATTGCCTCCTTGAACATCTGTCACTGTGCGCACCTTAGATTCCTCAGCATTCTCCTTGATGGTATCAATTGGCTGATTTTCAAACATCCAGGTGCAGCTGACAACATTTCCTTTCTGGATGTCCTCAGCCTGACGAGACTTCAGTTTCTTCATGGTCTCCTCAGAAGAGGAGGTTATAATGTCAGATGACTGGTTCTCAAAAACATACTTCATCCTCGATACATCTCCAGACTCAATATCAATCTGCGTGAGTCTCTTAAAGTTACCATGCTCCTCACCCCCGGTGATATTCTCCAGGTTCTCAGTCTCAAAAAGGAAGCGGGCCAGACGTACATCTTTACCTTGCACGTCCTCTTGCTTCACTGTGCAGGTTTTCAAGACAGTCTCTGACTCGTCTTTGATACTGTCAAGCGTCTGTGTCTCAAAAAGCCATGTGCATGTTTTAACATCACCTTTCTGTACCTCTGCGGTGTCCTCTGACTTTACCTCTGCTTTTTCATACAGCACGTCCATTGGCTGAGTCTCAAACAACCACCTGCATGTCTTGACATCACCCTTCTGGATCTCAATAGTCTCATTTTTCCTGTTGTCTTCTTCCTCCATGTTGCTGAAATACTTGATCCCATCAAGAGGCTGAGTTTCAAACAGCCACTTTGCTGTTTTCACATCACCTGCTTCAATCTCCTGTTTAGAAATGCCCTTTATGATCTGAAACTTGTTATTGCTTTCGTCAAACTGATCGATTGGCCGGGTTTCGAACATCCATTTGCAGCTTCGCACATCACCCTTCACAATTTCTTCACGATGCACAGTTTTGACCTCATGGTAATGCCCTGAGCTGTCCTGTATGGCATACAAGGGTGTGGACTCAAAAAGCACTTTGTTTGATTTCACCGACCCACTTGTCACACCTTCTACTGCTATTTTCTGTTTATCTGTGCACTTGCTCAGATCCATGGTCTCAAATATCTCCTTATAGTTGGTGACGTCACCCTTGTCCAGCTCTTGTAGCTTAACTGTGCGAGTGATCTCTTTTTTCTCCTCTCTGATTTGCTCCAGCGGTTTACTCTCAAATAACCACCTCTGATGTCTCACATCCCCCTTCTCCTCTTCTGAGGCAACAACCTTTTGCAGTTTTCCAACTTCGGGCAGCTCCTTCAGATTTTCCATTGGCACTGTCTCAAAGAGATGCCTGGTGGAAGTTACGTCACCTCCTAAGATATCCTCTGGTTCCAGTGGCCTGGCATTGGCGTTGTCTTTTAGAATATCCATAGGCTGTGTCTCAAAGACCATGCAGTGCCTCCGAACATCAGCTCCTATGATCTCCTCTTTTTGGGTTTTGGTACTCTCCCATTCCTCATCTTTGATTTGATCCAGCGTTTTTGTCTCGAAAAGCCACCTGCCCCGATTCACACCACCTTGATAGTTCTCCTCAATGGAGACGCCACAGATTAGCTTAACTTTAGTAGGGTCTTTATTGATCATATCCAGTGGTTGGGTTTCAAAGAGCCAACGTGACGTTTTCACATCACCTTTCTCAGTCTCCTCACGTCGGACAGTCGTAATCTGCAGCATTTCACCAGAGTCTCCTCTAATGACACACATAGGTTGGGTCTCAAACATTCTGGTTGTAGTTTTGACTTCCCCTTTCACCTCTTCAAGCTCCGACTTTAGCTGTAGGAAGTGTGATTCATCAATAGTCTCAGTGTGCCCAAGAGAGTCGAGATGCTGAGTTTCAAACAAGTATCTGGCAGTTTTAACATCTCCTCCTGTGATGTCTTTTGTATACACCACATGCTCCTCTTGGTCATCTTCTTGGTAGATCTTATTCATGGAGTCTAGTGGCTGTGTCTCAAACAGCCAGGTTGCAGTTCTGACATCACCTCTGGCTAGATCTGTTAGTTTCCCACTGTGCTCCACTGAGTCAGGTGTTTCTGTACCTAGAGCATCGATAGGCTGTGTTTCAAACATCCAAGTTGTGTATTTTACATCTTTCCCAGCAATGATTTCCTGCTGGGCGATGTTCCTGCTTTCACTCTCATCTGGCGTATCATCTTTAATGGCATCCAGTGGTTTATTCTCGAACATCCAGCGCATAGACTGCACCTCACCTTTCAGAATCTCATCCCATTCCAGATACTCTCTTTCTGGGCTCATACACTTCCCAGGACTGCTGCCGTTGTTCTCGAAGACGTACCGTGCTTGCTGCACATCACCACTCACTTCCTCATCACTGTCCATGTGAGAATGCTCCATTTCAGTGATGAAGTCTCGCTCCAAGTTTTTGCGTACCTCTGGATGAATGTGCTTGTACAGGCGTTTCAACTCATAGAGGTTCCTCTGCTTGGAGTACTGCTCCTTGCTGACATGGTGTTTTTGGGGAGCACCTTGATCAAGAAGCTGGGGAGAGGGACAACTTATTGGGACCTCTGCAGGCACCTGAAGGAGGTCGGTGGTGGATGGTGGTGGGGGGAATTGCTCAATGCTTCCATAGTGGGCAGCTGCAGAGGCAGAGGAGGTAGAGGAGGTCTCCTTCATAGTTTTGGTAACAGACTCATAACTACCTTCTGTTGCAATCTTTGATGACATGTTAACCGGGGCCCACTGAAACTGGTTGTAATCAAGATCAATCTTTGTAGTTGAGGGGAAAAAAAGGACAGCAATTGTTTCAATCAAAAGATGTTCACTGAATTTAAATTCTGAAACTATTCTTTGTGTGATATATAGCAGTAGTTCTAAAACCGTCCCAGATTTTTGCTCCAACCTAACTTGCAACACAAAGGAATAGAGCAAAAAATTTGTAGGCGTCCCTGAGGACAGGTTTAAGAACCACTGTTGTAGAGAGAGTAAAAAAAATGTATTACGTAGTACAAGGCAAACCCAATAGAATAAAGATAAAGCAGATAAAGAAGAAAACCTATTTGCAAAGGAACCTGACACTTAAAACATATTGGCCTATCACATAGTAGCACAAAGTATCACAGTATAAAAGTATTAAAGTTCTTAAAGTGGATTTTTCAGCTCCCAGAGCTATAAATGTGTAATGAGCACACAGGGTACATATAGCTTTCAATTTATGCAGAACAGTGATTCCTAATGATAGCAGAAATATTCTGATGAAAAAGTATAGATATGCGCACTGAACATTGGTAACTGTGATCATAAACCTTCATTACCTTGATGTGCTTGCTTGGAGTGGCTTCTTCTATGCTTTTTTCATGCTGTTGTTTCAGAGCTTGGGCGGAGACCTTAGGCAGCTCCTGACCTCCGATCACCACCACTGAGAGGAATAGCAGAAAGGGGAGAGTCATGATTTAAGACATGCCAGAAAAAACATGATCATACTTCAACCTTCTTCACAATACAGGACTGAAGCTATGGACTAAATGGCTTCTTTTGTGCACTTCCTAATGTATATTACACATTAAAAACTGGTAATGGGAGTAAAAGTTGAGCAAACCAGAACCTTTGGGAGTTCAGCTTGAACCTACCTTTTTCATCAAAGTGGTTCCCAAAGCTGGATGCTATGTTCTGTTGAATTTTCTGATCCTGTGAAACCTGTAGCAGTGCAGCATGAACATAGAAATGCTTAATATTTAGCTATACCAGCTCAAAAAAATTAAAAAAATGTTTTTTTTTGTGATTCTCTGTGATCATACCTGCATGTCATGGCTTTCTCTCATGCTGCTTCTCATACTCATTTCAGATGAGCTCACCACCTCCTGTTAATAGACATAATACTTCCTGTAACTGCTAACTGTAACTGTAAGACATGAGGTACTTAGTACTACTTATTGTTTCCTCTCCACATGTTAGTTATTCAACATCTTTCTTTTTAAAGAGTCCACAGATCTGCCTGTATTTTTCCCCAATTCCCCCAATTTTCTCCCCAATTTAGTCATTTTCTGATTCCACCCACTAGGAGGGCGAAGACTAACACAGGCTTTCTCTGAGACCTGTGAAGCGCCACCACAACTTTTCGAACTGCCGCTGACGCAACGTCATTGGACAGCCGAACGCACTCAGAGAAAAGATCCAACCACCAGATCTGTTACGTCAGCTAAAAGACGCCATCACAATGGGAGATGCTACCCACCCAGAGAGAGTGAGGCCAATTGTGCTCTCTTGGACTCCTTTTTGCATGAAAAACTCTCATAGAGTGTAAGTCTATGGATGAAATTAAAACACTTCATAGAAATCTTAAGTGATATCACATTAAACCAAAAGTGGATGGACGGCAGCATGGTTGTTTTACAAGGGGATGGTTTCTGTCATTTTTTGACATGGGATGTGCCATCCCCTCGATCCCATCCCCTCAAATGAAGCCCTGGCTATCATCCAATCCTTTATTAAATTAAATCAGGTGTGCTGCTGAAGGAATTTTGACCATGCCTTCAACATGGTGGTAGTACGAGGGAAGACCGACTGTTTTTCCAAGCAAAAACACAATTATTGTCCAGAAAAATTAGTACTGTATATGAAAATATGTCATGTTTTAGCACCAAAATTACAAATAATTCTCTCAACACTTAAATTGTTCTGTATGAGCGGGTCTGTCTGCATGTTTACCTGTCTTTGCTGGAAGTGGTACTGTGTGACGGTGCTCTGAGAGCTGGAAGAGGAGCTGACTTTCTGACTCTCAAACTGCTTCTTCACACTGGCCAGACCACCTGGCAAAGAGCAGGCCTCAGAGTCCTCCATGACCTAAACACAAACACAATCACAGACAGCATAGTGTTGCTGCTTAGTTTGTCCTGTAGGAGGCATTGCAATGTTAAAAAACAAGACTAGTAATCTCTCTCTCTCTCTCTCTCTCTCTCTCTCTCTTTCTTAGATTAGTTCACACAGTGATAAATATTCATCAGGAAGTGGGAGAGTAACTCAGGAAAGTGGAAACCTCTCGCTTGTCTCCTCTCTCCTCTCTGTGGAGGTAGATAGTAAATGGATAGTATTCGAGTGCGTGTGTGTATGAATATGTGCTTGTGTGCTCTTACCACACTAGCAGAGCTTCTCTCCTCCTTGCTGATGGCAGCCTGGTACAAGGCCAGTCGCTGTTTGAGAGGAACAGTCTCAAGTTCACCTTCAGCGTGTGTATCTCCCCGCGCGTCCCTTGAAACACCTGCACTGTCTGCAGCTAAAATTCACAAAGAAAAGATGTTGGTTCGGCATTTCTCTGCAGTGATATTACTGTATCTCAGTCTGAATGCGCTGATGTGTTTGGAGACGTGAGGGTGATTGATCTGGCGTCTCCAAACATCTGGACTGAGTTGAAGAGAATAAATAAATTAGCTTAGCTGTCGTTATGTGTCTAGCCAACGCTTTTTTCCATAGCAAATAACAGCTGCAACTGTCAGCTGGAAATATAGGCTTGAGTGCATAACTCAACATCACCACGGTAGTGATGGTGCCACTGCTACATTAGCTGAGATCAAACTTGTCTTGGTTAGAGGAAACTGCACTGATTTTCCTCAATTTCTACATAATTCCACTATTGAGATCAAACAAAGTCATTCAGAGTGGTTTGGTGTGCAGTCTCTGCTCTAGAGAAACTTGATTCAGAGTTGTTCACAGTGGTGGTGATAGGAACCAGACGTCTGAGGAGTTTAACCCCTTAAAATTATTTTAAGGGGATTTTTGGTTTAACCACAAAACCCCCCTTAAAATTACATACTAAAATGTACTATTTAGTAACTAAAGGGACTTCAGTACAAACTGAAAGAGCTATTCTTAGGTTATAGAAGTGTAAACTTTGGGACCACTAGTGAGCTCTGGCCATTTAAGGGGTTAATGCTTCTAAAAGCTCAATCAATTTGTTTTGACTATGGTACTTAATACTCAGTACACTATTTTACGGTTGTTCTGCAGTGAGTTTTTTGGTAAGAAACATATTTTTAAAACCTACTTTTCCTACTAGGTACACCAATCATCTTGGATTGTAAATAAAATGGCTATATTTGCATTGTAAGCTTTATGCAATTCCTCGTTCTGAGACTGTAAGGCTCCTACCACTTAGCCCTCTGTTTTGCGCATTCACGACTAGGGGTTGGGTGTCCCAATATTTGTTGAGATAGAGGGGTAGGGCGAAGTGTTAGAGCTACACGGTCCTCCAAACGAAGTTTTTTCAGAAGCACACTCCAAACAGTGTTATGAGAAAAAAAGAAGAACCAGCAAGTAACCAAAGAAACCCATTTCTCCATTAAAAATTACGATAACCACTGTTCTTAGTTTGTTCGTAGGTTTCCACTGATCTTAGTTTAATGTCATTTTGATGTATTTTAGTCATAACAAGCATAAAATCGCTAGTGATATGCTAGTGTCTTGGTAGCTAGCTAACTTTCCTGTTCCACCTTAAATAGTTCAGCGGTACTGACACCTGAAGTGCCAGAATGTAACTGCTGCTCCATTTAAGGTCGAACAGGAAAATTCGAACAAGATGCTGGTGAATATCTGACTTCAGCTTTGTGTCACCAAGAATTAGGGGTGGGCATTAATCAATAATTATCGTATCCCCCCTCTTTGAAGGCATATGATTCCCTAAATGTAACTAAAGCCCAGCAGTGAGGAGCTGAACTTTACCCTCCTCTGCTGTCACTGCAGACGGGCAGGGTCGCCTACAGAGCAGCGCTAGTAGCTGTTAATGAAGTAATGCTCTTTTTATTTGAGGGTCCCATTTCATAGAGGAAGATTTTAACCACTACCCTCTGTAACTTAGCTGGAAGAGCCAAGGTGACACTCGAAATCAAGGGGTAGAGGTAAAAATAAGAAATGGAATTGGGCTTAAGTTTCTTTACAGGGCACTTTGTTTACATCTCAACAATCTCAACAGGGGAAATTCCCTTTAACCCCTTAAATGGCCAGGGCTCACTGGTGGGCCCAAAGTTTTATTACACACTTCTATAACCTAAGAATAGCTCAGCCAGTCTGCATAGAAGTCTCTCTAGTTACTGAATAATAAGCCTTAATCTGTAATAAGCCTGAGATTTTAAGGGGTGAAGAGTCAGTTCTTTGGTGTCTGGGATACAGTCGATTGGTGCTTAGTGTTAGTCTATTTGCTTTAGCTTATAATAATATAAGATACCGTCATATAAGGTGCTGTTTAGAAATATATTTGCATTTCAAAAGAACTGATTCACACTGACACCTTCAACTACCCTCCCCATCACACACCACACATTCTCACTACATACTTGGCCCAATGATAATATTTCATCAGACCATGAGCAGAATTTTAAAAACAGTGTATTCAGATCAGATTCAGCCATCAGGACAGCATGAATAATGACTGATGGATGATGCTCTCTCTCTCTCTCTCCCTCTCATTCTATAGTTAGATCTACAGGCTTAGTGAAGTGTGCGGTATGCTGTTGTAAAATGTGAGAGTCAGTTTCATCAATCACTGTCTGAATTAACATTCAGGACACCTTCATCAACACTGGTGCATCCGCTTTAGTTTAAACCTCAGCTTTAATATGCTGCTGACACGTCCTGAACGTTTTAACAACTGTCACTTCTGACATCCCTGAAAATAAATGTATTAATGATACAAAAATCACAACAAAGCAAAAGTAAAAATGTGTAATACACGCTGTACTCACTGTCCACTTTATTAGAAACATCTTCTTTGTGCTTCTACTCACTGGTCATCTGCCTTATATATCCACCATAAATGGTACTGTGCAGAAATCAGAGACCACCCTCCATTTATTTCCAGTCTAAACTGCCATTAAGTACAAATTATTCATTATTTAGTGCCAGAGAAGAACTATTACTCAGTATTTAATGTGTTTTAAAGAAATGTGCAGGGATATTTTTTCAGTCTTAGAAGTTGGTTGCATTTTCCGCTTCTCATGATCCAATTAATCCCAAACACATTCGGTGATGTTGAGGTCTGGATCATTGTTCTGAGAACACCAGCAGCTTCTTTGTTTGATTTTAGATGCGCTTCTTCTTTCCTTTTCTTAGTGAGTCTTCTGGCAGATCCTTTCAGACTCATAGCGGTGAGCCGTCTTCTCACAGTGGAAGGATGGACAGAAACACCTGTGGATGTTTTCAGATCTGAAGCAGCTTCATTTTCTCCTCTCTCTCTAAGATGAAAGCTTTAAGTGTTGTTTATCTGATGGGGACAGTGTTGGTGTCTACCAGGTCTTGCGGGTGGTTGTTAGGAGTCCAACTTTCTCTGTATTTTTGAATGTTTTTGAACTCCAGTTTTGGAAAGTCCTGTTTTTTTTCATTTTTTTTTTCCTTATGCAAGTACATTATCTTGTAGCTAATCTCATAAAAATGAATAACTTGTACTTTTTGGCTGTTTTGACTGGAAGTTAAATAAATAAAAGGTGGTCTCTGACATTTGTGAACTTAAAGAACATCAACACATTTGTTTCCAAAGTAAGTAAACTGAAAGCAAATCTGTGTTGGCGTAATATACTTTGTTCATATGGAAATGATACACATTTCGATTCAGAGTCAGTGCATCACTTTTTCAGTATAGGCCTGCTATGTACTCTCTGTGTCCCTGCTCTGGAAAAGCTATCTGAAATTGTTTGGCACATTCTTGGAGTTGAGTGTCAAAAGGAATGACGCCTGCGGTGGGGATGCAGCGCGTGGCTAAGCAGTGATGAATTTAGGCCACTCACCATCACTGTGTCATAAACCCACACGCTTCTCTTACATCAGTTAAGCGCTGCAACGGCACCATGTGACGGAGGTATGTTCCCTGGGCCGTTAATTTTAGCGGCCCTGCTATTTAGAGCATGTCAGTGTAAAGCTATCCAGAGAGAGCGAGGAAGAGCGAGACAGAGAAAGAGAGATGTGGTCTCGAATAAGCTGGGTTTTAGTAGCAGCTGGTCAGAAACTCTACACCTGAGAGATAGAGGACATTCGACACTCTTCAAACAGAAGGATGGAGGGATGCGGAGACAGAGGGATCACGCACTCGTTTGTCATGGTGGTAAGAAAGACAGATCAGCAGGGAGGACAGACAGGCCTTCGCATGCCATGTCAGAAACCTCAAGCAACAATGTGGAACTGGAGGTGCTGAAAACAGCACATATATTGACATATATTGTGCATATATAATACATTTTAAGAAATATATGCACATATATGTTTCTACATTTGGAATTTTGATGCTAAGACATTGCATAGATTGATCTATATTGCACACATATTTTGGATATTAAGAAATATATGTATATATGCTTTTCTACATTTGGAATTTTGTTGTTGAGACATTATATATATTGATATATATTTCATATATATTCTAGATATTAAGAATATATGTTCACATTTGGAATTTCAGGGCTATGATATCACATATGTTGACATATATTCTGCATGTATTTTAGATATAATGAAATATATGTACATATATTTTAATACATTTGGATTTTTGGTGCTCAGCCATCACATATGTTAACATATGTTGCACATATATTTTGGATATTAAAAAATATATGTACATATTTTTTCCCACAATTGGGATTTCGGGGCTAACACATCACATATGGCACATCAATTTTTTGGATGTAAAGAAATGTATGTACATATATTTTGTCTTATATTGGTACTGACAACATCTTACAATATATTTTATTTTCATAGCGGATTGCACTGCAGTAGAGTAATCTGGGCAGAGAGAAAAATTAAACCAGACTTATTTTACTGCAGTGCCTGCTGAGTATCATATTTCAGATGGGTGTCTGAGGAAGAGATACTTCCTGAACGTCAAAAGCATGAGAAAGCATTTCCAGAAAGCTCCACTGGTCCCATAATTCCCTGCTAGGCTAATCCTTTTTCCCTTGCAGATTCTCTCACGCTCTTCCATTTTCACTTTAAGGACCATTCCTTTACCAGCTAAAGTCATTTAAAGGCTCAGTCAAGCAATTAAAACTTACACAATTACATTAGAAATCAAAAAGAACTCAGGCCTTTAAGTACATGTGTATAAATCACCCTTTCTGGACTATTCATTTAACATCCTCAGCGATTGTAGGGGCCCATTTACGGAATTGGAATCAAAATACAAAGAACAGGGAATTCAATTAGAAAAGAAATTAACTAGCTTTTAAGTACAAACCACTGTGGATAACACACACACACACACACACACACTCTCTCTCTCCATTGTACAGT